ATTTTCAAATCTTCTCCCTCATTTTTAAAACCTTATTGTTTTTTAAACTTGAACCACTTTCATAATAAACCTTTACATTGTCAAGTGATTTTTTTTCAAAACTTCTTTTCTTAATTAAATCTTAATCCACTTAACCAAAGTCTATTTTCTTTTCTTTAAAGACTAAAAAACACAAACCCCACTTCAAACATTTTGTCACTTTTGACTTTTTGATTTAAATTTTTTATTAAAGATTAGATGTGAGTCATCTCTATGGTTGAGATATAATTCTCCCATGTCCATAACCTTGATTGATATTATGTTGAATCTTTTCTAATTGAAGGGGTTAGTGGTATACCTGTTGAGTTATCTAGGTGGGAGCCCTCCTTTCACTTATGCTGCAAAGGTCCATCATTCACATGTTTATGGATATTTGGTTGAGTGTTCTCCCAAAGATGAAAAAATGTCTCTTATCTTAAAATTAACCAACAAATGACTTTATTCTTTTTAGAAGAATTATACGGTTTATTATTGCATATTGGTGATACGTAGGCACATGGCTCTTTTTTCTCATCTCTACAATCTTTTTGCAAACAACTCTTTTTTAGCCAAATACACAAATTTTCAAAGAGATTCATGCAGAGTACCATATATATTTAGGATGCTAACATCTTCCCTTTGCATAACCAACCCCCATACCTAGATCTTTGTTTTTATTAGTTTTTGTTTTAAAAACTTCTTTGGGTTTTATTTGCTCTTTTCCCATTTTCTTTGGAAACAATAAAGTGTGGTGACGAATTTCACTTGATGAATTAAGTTAATCAATAGCTCAATCTCAACTTTTCACTGCTATATTATGTGACGCAGAAATAAAGTTCAAGCTTGAGGGGAAATTTTATTGGACTGTGATAAAACCTACAATGTCGTATGGGGCAAAATTGTTGAATGGTTAATAATTAACACAACAATAAAGTCAATATAGTAGAGATGAGAATCTTTTGATGGATGTGTGATAAAACTTGACAGGATAAGATTAGAAATGAAAATATTAGAGAGAGTGTTGGGGTAGTATCTATAGTAGAAAAGATGGTGGAAAATAAATTTTAAGTGGTTTGGAGAGAAGATTTGTATATTATGTAGTAAGGAGAGTATATAAGATGGAGAGAGATCAAACAACTAGATTAAGAGGAAGACCTAGAAAGATTATATGAGAAATTATTAAGAATGATATTGAGATTAATGATTTAGATAGAAGCGTGATCTTTAATAAAAACTATGGCAAAAATTGATCCATATAGTCGACTCCACTTAATAAAATAAGATTTGATTTTGTATATATGACAATAATACGAAAGACTAGTGTTGTTAAAAAAATTACATAAAAGAAAACATATTGAAGTGGTAATTATAATAGGTGTAAAGTTTAAGGATATTGAAAAGTATAATCTAATTATTATAAATAAAATCTAATGAAAATATATAAACATGTATTCAAAACAAATATTATGTTTGAATAAAATAAAATATAATAATTAGAATTGACTGATAAAAAATACGAATGAAAAATTTCATATTTTAATTATGATCATAATAAATGAAAGCAGATTAAAACGAAAGTTATTTTAAAAAATATGTCAAATATTTTACTGGTTGAAAGTTACCTTTTTAAAGATGAACAAGTAGAATATCACAGATTTAAACACGCGGTCTTATTTCTGATGTCTCTATCTAAGTAGATGGAAATAAGTAAGATCAACTAATATGAACCTACTGTCTAGCCTACACTGGTCAAGATTAGGTTAGACTTTTTAAGTGGAAAAGAATTAGAAATTTTTATAAGCTTATTTAATTAAATAGATTAGACCATAAACCATAAAAAAATTTAAGCCTATCAAGCTGACTAATTTTAATAAATATGAATAAATTTATTGTTTTATATTGTATTTTATATTTTATATTAAAATACAAAAATAAAGTTTAATTCTCTTGAAGAATTTGATAAAATAAGTTGAAAAAACATTATGAATAATGTCAGAAATTGTTTTCATAGGTTCTATCAAATAAATAATTCTATAAAACTTAATAAGCTCAAATAAGTTAAAATATAAACAAATATTTAGTCTCATTATACTTTTAATTCTCTAGTATATTTAAATATTAATTGAATTGTTTATTTACATATATTCAAATGATATGAACTTTTTAAACAGGTTAAACAGGTTTTCGAGACTCAAACTGAAAAATAAATTTATAATAGATTACATGTCATATTTAGACTTTAAATTTTTTAGCAGACCAAATTCAAATTTGATAAAACTTAATTCGACTAAGCCAATTCTCATCCATATACACAAGTATCAAATGAGTTGCTTTAACTGACAAGATAGATAATAACTATTAAAATAGATCATTATTTGAAATTACAAATAGTGCTAGAATGAAATAATAATTTAATTTAATTTATACTAAATTAATTTATATTTACATCAATAAATAAGAGTAAATATAATTATTAAGTAAATAATTATTTAAAAAATTATTTAACTTTATAAGATTGTGACCAAAACCAATAAATATTCCTTTCAAACTTTTAAAGAAACAACTCAGCTATTAAATACTCATTAAATAGTCAGTGAAATAAATTGACTTTATAACTTGAAAAGATCATAATTGTAAAATAATTACTAATTTTATTTTTATCAATAAAAATCCATTTATTATTATTATTATTATTATTATTATTATTATTATTATTATTATTATTATTATTATTATTATTATTATTATTATTATTATTATTATTATTATTATTATTATTATTATTATTATTATTATTATTATTATTATTATTATTATTATTATTATTATTATTATTATTATTATTATTATTATTATTATTATTATTATTATTATTATTATTATTATTATTATTATTATTATTATTATTATTATTATTATTATTATTATTATTATTATTATTATTATTATTATTATTATTATTATTATTATTATTATTATTATTATTATTATTATTATTATTATTATTATTATTATTATTATTATTATTATTATTATTATTATTATTATTATTATTATTATTATTATTATTATTATTATTATTATTATTATTATTATTATTATTATTATTATTATTATTATTATTATTATTATTATTATTATTATTATTATTATTATTATTATTATTATTATTATTATTATTATTATTATTATTATTATTATTATTATTATTATTATTATTATTATTATTATTATTATTATTATTATTATGTTGAAAATCATTAAAAAACTACAAAAAAAAATTGTGGGAGTAACTTTAACAAAAGTAATAATAAACAGACAATACTTTGTAAAAAAACATAATAACAAAATTAAAATATAATACTATTGTGATTATAGTTTAAATATTAAAACTACAAAATTATATATTGTTTAAATAAAATACTTTTTAAAATATAATATAGTATAATCATATAAAATTAAATTTTAAATGGAAACAAATATTTTATTTTATTAAATTTCAAAAGAAGACCCAAAAAATAAATCTGGGGGCGTAATTTTTAAATCCATTTTAAAGTAGTATTTGAAAAAGTGGAAATTATTATTAATAACTTTAATGGTCATTTAATAATTATCGTATATAATTTTGAAATATATTCTTTAAGATTATAATGCCAATAACTAATGTAAAAGTGCACTCTTTAATAGATTAAAAAAGTAAACTTTTTTTAAGAAATGTGTATATTTAATATATTAAAAATTAAAATAATTAACTTTTTTTAATAAATATCTTTTTTATTTATAATATTTTAAAAATATTAAAGATTTCTCTATTTTAAAATAATTATTTTTCGAAATCCATCATTTTCCTCCTCTCCAAAATAAAAAACAAAGTCTTAAATATGAGTATTCAAAACCAAATCGGTCCAATAGAAAATCGTAAAATCGAACCGAATTAAATCGAAATTGCAAAAAAATGCATTTGATTCGGATGTGTTTGAGTCATTTTCTCGCAGAACCGCACAATTCAGTTTGATTTGCGGTTTATATTTTACAAACCGAAACAAATAAAATAAAATCGTATTATATTATAAAATCTTAGTAACCTATATATATATATATATATATATATATATATATATATATATATATATATATATATATATATATATATATATATAATATATATATATATATATATATATATATATATATATATATATATATATATATATATATATATTTCTTTAGAGAAATCAATATGTATTATGTGTATATTTTATCATACTTTGTATTATATTTATTTTAATTTATAAATCATAAAAAAATAAAATATTGTTCATTTATAAATACTATTTTCACAAAATATATTTTATCGTATTTTTCTATAATATTTATTTAGAATACAATCTTGTTTATATCATTCTTTAGATTTAGATAAAATTATAATACACAATTTTATGTATCAAATTATAAACTTATTTTGACAATTATAAATTTTTTTATTGTAATGTATGAACAATTAAACACAAAATTATATTTTCCTCTATATTTGTATGTATGACTTAATAATTTTTTTTTGTAAATAACCGAACCAATCCAAACCGCATTAGTTTGATTTGGTTTGGTTCAAATTTATTTTTAAAAGCCAACCAAACCAAACGAACCGCGTGTTTTTTTTCCTCTTGCAGTTCGAGTGATTTTTTGCTTCAAAACCGTCCAAACCGCAACGCGAACACCCCTAGTCTCAGAGTAGGACAATGTTTTACAAAAAAAAAACTTTCAATTAATGGTCAATATAACACACGAATTTTAAAATTTTAGAATATTAAATAATATATTTCTAAATTCTTTTCTTTTTTTAAATCGAAAGTGAATCTAGTATTCAAACAAAAACTTAATTATGTTTGAGGTATTACTCTATAAAAGCCGAACAATACTAGGAAAAGAACACACAATAAAAATTTGATTCCTTGTTAATTTTTTGAAACTCTCTTGTAGCTATGAATAAGAAGAAGGTGAATCGTTCTCGTGCAAAAACAAAGATCGGTGATTTAAAGAAGGTAAGAAAAATTATAACTCTTTCTGATATCTGAACCATTGTTATAATTCCAACATTTTTAATTCTATAAATTAAGTCTTTTTATAATTCACAGGAACGCAACCAAGATGTCGAGGGGTGTCAGAGTTCATCTCTGGTAGATGAAACAAAGAATGTAAATCATGTGAGTTTCATTCAACAGAAAATTGTTGAAGCTGAAGACAAATTGGAGAAGCTGAGAAAAGAAAATCGTAAGAAAGAGATGGATCTTCTTATGATCAAAAGCATTCAAAATCCAGCTATGTTAGACAATCTCACTATGGACGAGTCAATTGAACTCAAAAAGATGATAGATGAGAAAATTAAGGAGATCGATACTAAGATTGCTTCACTCGATTGATCAAATGTTATTTGAAGTTACTTAGCATGATTATGAATAAAATTTGTGGATCTGAATAAAACTCATAATAAACTTCTTTTTTATAATTCTTCTATCAAGAGTCACTGTTAAAATTTGTCATTTAAATTAATATTTTTTTTAACATTAGTATATTCATTAAAATATAAATAGATAGTACTAATTCCAATTTCGGTTAAAATTACAAATTTAATGTCGAAATTTATTTAAAATTGTTTATTGAAACTCTAGATACTAATTATCATTTGTTTTGGAATACAAGATGGCCTAAGCCCAAGGAAAAAAAACAAACTACAATCTAACAATTCTACTGTAACAAATATCAACAAGATATGGTTAAAAAAGAGCTCGATTCTTAAGGGCGCACATCATAAAAGTGAATTTCATATCCATGTCCCGCTCTTAAACTTGCAAGTGAATTCATACACTAATCTGATCCTGCTATAACATATGTGGATATTGAGCCTATAAATATGTCTAGTCTTAGTACTCAATAGGTTATTATCTTGGATCTAGTAATGACAAGTATCTTTCAATGTTAAGTCACGCCATGAAAACAGGTTTTAGCTTGCAAAGCTAAAACAAGCATTAAGATTAAAGAGTCACTAGTATTACACAAAGAGTATATTTACATAGAATTCCATGATCTATTTAGTACATGCATATAATGACTACATCTAACCCCAATAATTGAAATTAGCTATTGTTAAGGATGGTTAGCGTAACAATGGGTTTTACAATAGAAGTTGACTTTAAAATTGGGATTTTCTCTGTCACCTGATCAATTCTTCCATTTTTAGACTTCCTTTCTTATCCTCTTGATGTAAACCAAAGTGAACCCCCTCCAATCATGTACTACCTTGATCCACCGAAACTCATTTTCCACTGAAACTCTATTTGCATCGTTGTTGCGCCCATCTCGCCTACTCTGCCCTGACACTCTGACCAACATGTTTTCTTTTTCAACAATCAATGCTTGCATGTCTTCCACGTACCCTGTAAGAACAAGATTGATTCTACATGTGTCCTTAAGTTTTGATGATAACTTTACATGGTATCTTATAGAATAATTGTATACTCTAATGGTTTTTATCTAGTGTATAGCTTTTTCTAAATAGGTTCTGACTCTGGTAGAAGGTGTGTGACGTCATCAGGTTCTAAACTCAACACTCTGGAAGAATACCTTTGGTGTGTTATAAAGTTAAGTTAAGATTCTGGAATGCTTCTTATGCCACGGTTCAAAGGAACACTAGTACATGAGCTTCTGATAGTGACTTTGAAAGGAAGCTTTGGAGGCCTTCTAAAGCTTTGGTTATGTTGTCCCAAGTTTTGAAGATGCTGAAGCCAAGGTTCTCCTTAACAAGTTCTGAAGATCTGAAGACTTTACTTCTGAATACCAAGTGCTAAAGACTCTGAAGACAAGGTTCTGCTGAACAAGTTCTGTAGACTCCAAAGACATAAGCTAAGAAGACTCAAGTTCTGATCCTTCTACAACATGCATCATAAGCCCTGAAGAAATCAAAGATAAATATCAAGACTGGCTTGCGTGAGATGGTTAGTATAAAAGTACAAAGTACACTGTGACCACTACTCTAATAGGATGGTGTAAAGACAACCTTTTTTTTACTTGTTGTCTACCATTCCCACCATGACCGTTGGGGACAAAACAATGGTTTTATGTTTCCTATTCTACCCTCCAACAAATCTCTTTTTCAGCTATAAAAGGATAAATTGGAAGAATTGGAAAATAACACTTATTGTTCTACAAAACTACGCTAAAGCGCTGCACAAGCTCTTTTGAGATATTATTTGTATTGTTTTGTATTTTTAGCAAGGAGATTTTGTTCAGATCTTTCTATAAACACTTTTGTATTGTTGTACTTAAACATTGTGTAATCTTCTTTCTAGAAGTATCTTTGTATACACATCTTTGTAAATCAACGGTTATTGATAGGTTCCTTGAGAGACTCAATGATTCAGGTTTCTCAAGAAGACTTTGACTGCGGTCATCATGAATTGATAATAAGGATCGACATACTTGTTGTGGTTATAAACAAGGTTGATCAGACTTATTGTGGTTGTTTGTAATCGGTTGATTATAGTGGATTAAGTCCTTGTGGATAAGGAAAATCACCTTGCGAGGTGGACTGGAGTAACTTATTTAACAGTGAACAAGGATAGAAATAATTGTGTTCATTTATTTTTATTCACTTATTAGCTTTGTGTTTGTATTTCGAAAAGATTATATTTGGTGAAACCCAATTCAAACACCCCCTTCCTTGTGTTTCTCGCACCTTCAATTGACATCAAAACTCTGGTTCTGGTATTGATTATTATCAAACACTTAACTGTATCAGATAAAGATCCAGACGAGTTTTTAGAAACACTATGGTTGATCCTACTCCACCACTACATTCTCCTAATTAAAATGATAACTACAATACTAAACCTTCCATTTTTATAGTGAAAAGTTCAAATATTGGAAAGACAGACTAGAAAGTTTCTTTCTAGGTCATGAAGTTGATCTTTAGGATATGCTAAGATCCTCCAACAAATTTTTTTGGAAAGAAGCTTGAAAGGAGAGCTGTGACTAATAAACAGGAAAAGGATTATAAGAATCAATCATAAATCAAGAACCATCTTGTTGAGTTCTATTTCTTATACTGAGTATGAGAAGATTACAAATAAAGGCTCAGCTAATTCTATATTTGACTCTCTCAGAATGACTAATGAAGGAAATTATCAAGTCAAGGAGACCAAGGCTTTGGCCTTGATTTAGAAGTATAAAACATTCAAGATGGAGGATGATGAAATAGTTGAGACAATGTTCTCAAGGTTTCAGACCTTAGTTGCAAGACTGAGAGTTCTGAATAAAGGATATTCAATGTCAGATCACGTGAAGAAAATGATTACAAGCTTGCCATCTAAATGGAGGCCTATGGTAACTACACTTAAGCTTGAAAAGGATCTCAACAACATTTCTCTAGAAGAACTGGTGAGTTCCTTGAGAACTCATGAGATTGAGCTAGAATAAGATGAACTTCAGAAGAGGGGAAAATTTATTGCGCTCAAATATGTCAGAAGATTTGAGAAGTCCAAATCTCTTCAAGCTGAAGAGATTGAGGATTGATAAGAATATTCTGATGAAGTTGAAGATGAGTTGTCTCTGTTGTATAGAAGGGTTATCCGTCTCTGGAAAAGAAATCAAGGCAACAGATTCAGAAGTACTAGAAGGAATGGTGGTCGCTTCAAGTCTACTTCTGGTCAAACAAAGTCTAGTGGCAACGAAGTCACTTTCTATGAGTGCAACGAGCCAAACACTACAAGTATGATTGTATTGAACTTTAGAAGGACAAGCCCAAGAAGAAAGCTCTCAAGAGCAAGAAGAAAGGGCTGATGGCAACTTGGGATTATTCTGATTCTTCAAAAGACGACTCAAAAGAAGAACGTGCTAACATGTTCCTGTGGCTGATGTTAGAACGTCTGATGTGAAGATCCCTCCAGAAGATGAAGCATATTCTGATTTAGACACAAAAGAGGTAGTCTTGAAAGAGGTATTTTCTAACCTTACTCACTCTAAATTAACTTCTTCTTTAGTTGAAATTCTAGAAAATCGTGAGTTACTCAAGATTGAAATTGAAGGAACTTAAAAATTTCCATGAATCAATATCCTCTGAAAACAATAATCTTAAGGAAGATCTCTTCATTATTAATGAAGAAATTTTTTCTTAAATATGAGAACTCTGCCCTCAGAGGCACGAGAACTTTTCTAGAAGCTTTTGAGAGTACTGATGATGTCATTAAGAAATATGGCAAAGCTTTTCAGAAGTTCCTAGCCAGAAGCATAGAGAGAAGCATGATGGCTTCTATGATCTATGGCGTGAGCAAAAATGGGACCAATGGTGTATGCTATAATTCTTATGATGAATTTATTCTGATAAGAAAGACAAACCTAACACTCTTCATTACCATTTTGTCTCTATTGCGTTTGTGCCTAAAGATAAAGGAAAAGAAAAAGATAAATCTTCTTCTAAACCTAAGGTAAAACCTTTGGCTAAACCTTCTCGCTTTAGTTCCTATAAATATGATCATTCTATTGCTAAAACCAAAGTTGTTAAGAAATCTGGGAAAACTAACAAGAGAGGACCCAAGAAATTATGGGTACCCAAGAAACTGATAATCTTTATGTTGCAGATATTCTTAGCAGCACAATTGAAACACCAGTCACGGTACCTTGACTCTGGCTGATTGTGACACATGATGAGAAGAAGACATATGTTCCAAAGCCTGGAACTTAAACCTGGAGGTGTCATGGGTTTTAGAGGTGTTTAAAAGGGAAAGATCATAGGCTCAGGAACAGTTGGTAATGGTTGTCTTCCCTCTATAAATAATGGCTTACTTGTTGATGGATTAATTTGTAATTTATTGTCCATAAGTCAATTAAGTGACAATGGTTATGATATTATCTTTAATCAAGACTCATGTAAAGTTGTTAGTCAGAAGAATGGCTTTATCCTTTTCATTGGTAAAAAGAAGAACAATATCTCTAAGATTAGACTTTTTGATCTTAAAGAGCAAAAAATTAAATGTCTTTTGTCTGTTAATGAAGAGCAATGGACGTGTCATAGATGATTGGGACATGTTAGCATGAGAAGGATATCTCAACTAAACCTGCTTAATTTAGTCAAAGGACTTCCTAATATGAAATTATCTTCAAAAGCTCTTTGTGAAGCATGTTAGAAGGGCAAGTTTTTAAAATAAAATTTCTTTTAAAGCAAATAATCTTGTCTCTACCTCCAGACCATTGGAACTTCTACACATTGATTTTTTTGGACCAGTGAAAACTACATCTATCAATGGAAAGAAGTATGGATTAGTAATTGTTAATGACTATAACAGATGGACTTGGGTGAAGTTTCTTATACACAAGGATGAGTCACACTATGTGTTCACCGCCTTCTGTAACCAAGTGATAAATGATA